AGAAAAACCATTACCCAAAACCTACTATAATATCAGAATGGGGAAATGCTTCCAAATTAACAAAGTCCAGAAGCCATAAAAGATGGTTAAATTTAACTAGAAAACTAGAAAAGAACATCATACACAAAATCAAGACAATACAACAAACTAGTAAAATTGTAACATATCAAATCAATGACTGAAGGTTAATTACACAAGCATGTTTTTCTAAAAATCAATTTAAAAAAAAAGACAAGCCACCACAATAAAAATGGACGAACTGTCAATTCACATAAAAAGAACTACAAATACTCGTAACTATACAAAATGCTCTCTGGATATGGTATCAAGATGAGAGAACTACCAATCAAATCTGCACTGAGGTGCCAGCCATCACTGATCATTGAGAGCAAAGATTGGTAACCAGCTCTGGGGGCAAAGGTGCAGAAGCTCCTCCTCTTCAACCCGCCTGGCAAGGGGCAGAACTTCTAGAGAGGGCAGCTTGGCATTATAAAAAATACAAATGTGTACACTATCTGATCCAGCAAGAGCCTCCCGAGGAATTTACTTCATTCCCTGAAGCTTTGTTTGTAATAGAACAGATTAGAAATCATTCTAATGTCTATTAATATTGCACTGGGTAAATAAATTACGTTGCTGCCAAGTTGGCTCTGGCTCATGGCAACTTTATGTGTAACGGAGTACGATGTTGCCCAGTCCCGTCCATCTCCATACTTAGTTGTTATCCAGGAGGCGTTCAACAGTCAGTTCCAGAAATGCCAGCATCCTAACAATACTACACAAGCCCCTGCAGTACCACAAACTGATAGGTGAGTGGTGGATATATGCCAATATGATAGATTACCATGCAGTTTTTAAATGCAAAAACAAGCAATGAAAAATAGTGTTTTAAAACTCCTCTATGTACAGACAAGAAAGTTGCAATAGGCAGAACAAATTTGCCATTTGTGTTAAAAGGGGGAGGAGAACACAAATTGTTTGCATGACATAGTTCTCTAACAATATACAAGAAACTAGAAATAGCTGTTGCTTAGCTAGGTAAAGGAAAAGGGGGCTAAGACTCTTAGGAAAGAGGCTTCACTTATGCACACCTTTTAATACCATTTGCATTGTGAACCATGGGACATTTTTACCTACTGAGAAACTAAAGTTTTCAAAGCAAAACAAACAAGAGGCTTCTACAATTGTGGCTGTATAATTAGGGGCTTTCTTCTTTATTTGGCAATTTTAAAATATAGGTTAAATTTTTTTTAAAGATTTGTGTAACCAAAAGGCTCTTTTCATTTATATTTTACGGTTAGCGAAAGCAAGCACAAATAATTCAAACAAAAACATTCAGTACATATTAAATTACTGAGTGTTGAAGATGTCTTTATCAGCTTTAAAAATAGGCTATATCTTTCTTAAGCATATTGCAAATATTTTGTCAGACTGAACTTCCTGCTTGGAAACAGGAGGAGACACAGGAAATACAAATTACTTCTGGAATGAATGGGAAAAGCTACAAGTATTGCTTTAAAAGTTATTAAAAGGTAAATTCTAGTTTTAAAATAAAAACTAAATAAAATAAAATTCCAATTTTCACTTATTGTACATATAAAGTAGGTGAATGTCATACATCCAAACCTGTGATAGTGCCAAGATTATATGTCTCTGAATCTACACTTACTCTACAGCTTTTTTTCTTTCCTTCCACAGTTTGGTATACTTAAGAAAAACAATCCCTACAAATACGCCATGTGCTCAGGCAACATCCATTTTTAATGTATTAAGAGGGCTGAAACTAAATGACCTCCACATTCTTGACAGCGTTCTCCTCTGACTGTATGGAAGGTTTTTTACTTTTCTTTTCCAAAACACAGATAACAATGTCCTTAACTGTGTGTGTGCAAAGATTAATATAAACAGCGTAAATGTAAATCACCTCGACTTTTTGGCAGAGAAGAGACATTCATTAACAGTTCCTACCTCGCCCTGGCCTTTCCAAAGTCTGAAAATGAAATCACCATTAAGTAAAAGATTTAGATATTCTGATCTGACCTTCATTTTTCAGATCAATGAATATCATCCACTTGGTCTATCAATGATATTTTTAGATAGGTTCACCAATGGCCTGTTGGGGGCATATTTTAAAACATAACAATTCACCCCAAAGCAGGCACATTTTTTAGCTATATCAACCTATGGAGTTCTGTTAAAGCACAAGATTTTCACACACAAAGCAATCTTCCCCTTTCAAAGTCCATCCACGCACCAAGGTGAAATGAGAGCAAGCATCTCAAGGGAAGAGACACAGTGGGAAACCATATCTAAAAGATCGCTTTACCTCAAAGATACAAAGATCTTCAAGGCAGCCCGGAGCCCGCTTTCTTCATGCTTGTCTCTGGAATGTGGACACCAGTTCCACACAGCACACTCCTTCCCCAGGACATCCTGACTGCGCACAATGGCACTGACAACAATTGGCTGTGGCCCCTACTTCCAAGCATGGAAAATTTACTATCTATAGCCACAAATTTCCCTATCTGAGTTAAATGACACTTGTAAACAATCTATTTAAAAACAAATTTGGTTACTAAGCACATTTTTAAAAGTCACAGTTCAATCTCTCATTATTTTTCCTTTTGAAATGAAAAAACCAACTGTATTTTTTTTCAGTGCTTAAAATACAGAAGACTACAAAAAACATAAAGCATGTCAACAATGGGAGGGGGAGGCATAGTCTACATGCTATTGACAATATTTTCATTTCTTCTTCCTGCCGCATCCTTGACATGTGCACTTTTGCCCTCTCCAGACAAGAGCAAAATCCCCATCTCCAACTTCAGATGCCATTCAGATTCTTGAGCAAGCTGCCTCTGCCAGAGACGCCACTGCTAAGCACTAGCACAAGTCATACTTCACTCGGTCTTTAAGACTCAGGACAGATAACCCCTGTCTCCAAAGAAGTCTTCCTTTCCTTCTCTGCTTCCTTGGTCCTCATATTAATAAAAGCAGTTTTATTAACATATAAATCAGATACTGTACAATTCAATGATTTAATATATTAAAGAGATACAAAATTTTCTTCCTTCTTGTAGACATTATTATTAGCTCTCCCTTTCCCCCCAACCTTCCCTGCCACAACCTTGAGAAATGTAGTTACTATTGCTACAGATTCACCTATCCTGGATTTCATATAAAGAAAATTATACTCAACAAAACAAAAACCCAAAACCCCACCATGAACAACAAACTAAAACACAGAAAAATGCCTAACTCAAAAGAAACCAGAAAATGAAAACTAAAAGAAACTGACAGTGGGTCAAGAGAGACAACAAATGCTAAGATGTGAAATTTTACCCTCTCTATATTTGCAAGTAGGTAGCATAGTGGACCATGTGCTGGGCTGCCGCCAACCACAAGGTCAGCAGCTTACACCCCCCCCACCCCCCGCTGCTCAGCAGGAGACAGACAGAACCAAAGCAGACTCAGCCTCAGACACCCAAAAGGACAGCTCAACCCTGCCCTCCGGGGCTGCTATGAGTTAGAACCAACCCGATGGCAGGGAGTTTGCGTTTTATCTGCAGCACTCCACTTTAAAATGCACTGTCTGAAGACAAGGCTATTCATATCCCTGGGTCAATGGTCAGAGAGCATTCAATGGAAGACTTAATCTGCATGGGGACTCTGTAAATGGAATTTTGGACTTTCACTGTCATCCACAACTTTCTGTAAAGAACTGCTTAGAATTTAAGCTCTAGTATAATTCCCTCCTCTGATTTTGAATCTTATTGTTTACAATCATTAGATTACATGGGCTGGTGTGGTTCTTCCATGTAGCCTTAGTTGACACCTCACTTAGATAGCTGTTTGTGTTAATACAAGCCTTTAAGACTCCAGGCACCATTACTTCTGATAGTACTTACCTGTACCATTGCTACCCAGCAGTTAGTTCATTCTAGCATTGAGTTTGCATTGCCTTACTGGTGCCACCTGACATTAATGACTACTTAAAATTGTGACATCTCTCTCTCCAGATTACCTCCCTTGTCTTTTAAGTGTTTCTCAGGTTCTTCTACGTTCCTGGAAGCTCATACTTCTTGGGATTCTCTAAGTCAGATGCTTCCTCTTCCTCTACCACATATACACCAACAACTACCAAATCCACATTTTCAATTCAGAATTTTCCTTACCCCATAACATGTGGTCCATATGTGCATTCTGACAAGCTGGTATCCATCCTCTTATGCAGCAACCCACAATCCACCACTGCAACTCAGCTACTGCCCGCCATTAGATCTTCAACCTTCATCTTCCCTATTCTTAGCAACCACCAACTTGATTTCACTGCATCTCTTCTCAAATATTTATTCGCCCTCAATCCTCCTTACTTACTTCAGCACAGAGTCATTCTGTGAAAGTCATTTCATTGGAGAATAATATCTGAGTTCTTACTTTAATTCTAAATTTTAGCACATATTTGCTACCTATACATATACACTTATGTATATAAACATACACATATGAGATAAACTTTGTAAAAATAATCTTTTCCTTTTCACATTTTAAAACAGATTCCCAACTAGACCTTGTTTTTCTCTATTGGGTTTCTTTAATTTATGTGGAATCACTAAAAATGACCATTTTCCAGCATCACTTATCACACTTCTTGTGAAATGGGCTAGCATCCCATATCAAACACGTCTTGTATGTATGTACACTGACTAGGAACGCATTCCAAAAGAACATGCAATGTAGCCTTTCAAAAATTCACAAATTTTAAAAGTCACTTATTTTAGTATTTTTCAAAGTGCTAACAATAAAATAAAGTTTTAATTTTAGAAAGGAAGAAACTTTTAGGTTTCTTGGGGGGAATATATAAATACCAAAGCATGGATAATTCCCTATTTGTACATACCACAGCAATGCCATAAGAGATTCAATCTCAATATGGACCAAAATATATAATTTGGATCCCCTTTGCCCACATTATCCCACTTTTAATACCTCTTCCTTACCTTTTACTTTTGCAATAAGCATTTCGGCAGCATTTTGAAGATCAATGGAATTGAGGTTCTGATGCTTATTCATTACAGACTTTAAAACACGGAGAAGTTCATCCAGGCGTATATGAATAACTTCTTTAAAGCAGTCTTTAAAAAAAAAAAGAAGAAATTTTGTTTCCAAAGCACAATTCCAGGAATCTAATCACAAGAGACCATTCTGAAGCACATTTGAGTATGTGATGTTTTGTTATGTATTGTTTTTTCGATTTTACCTACTGAAAGTACACTTCCATGTTCAATACTGCAATTACACACAATTTATATAGCCACCAGAAAAATCTTAATCACTTTAACCCATTAAGATCTTTAGTATCTCTCACAGTCAGCATCAATTTAGCACTACACTTTTACACTTTACTGAGAAAGATGAGGCTCGCTGCTCCTGTAAAGATTTACAGGCCCAGAGGTGGCCGGCAGTTCTTGGTTCGATAAGTCAGAATTGATTCTATGGCAGCGAGTTTGTTTCTTTCTGAGTTTTACACTTCACTAAATATCCAGTTTTCTCAGTCTAAAGATGCTTTCCAGATTTCTTCTTACGCAACTTTATACGTTTTCCCTAGTCTTAACAGTTTTTACTATCATATATTTTAATGTATTCTAAAAGAGTTCAAACTACAAAATCTGATATACTAATATTTTAAAACTTATGTTCTAAATTTCCACAACTTATTCTTTCATTAAGTAATTATTAAATATTGGAAGCGAATAACTCACAAGAGATACATATCCCACCATGTACTATATGACCTGTACATTTAAAACATTGTGACATAATCCTCCGTGGTCACTAGTCACTACAGTTGTGACTGCTGTATTATGTGTGTTCATTCCCTAAATCCACTCCGACAAGCCAACTCCACGTATTTATTTATATAATCCCTGATCCCCAAAGGCAGAGTTTTCAAGCTTTAATAAGTGACCATATAATTTATCACTCAAACCAAGAAGACCTGTTTGCAAGTGAGAACAGGTCTACTGGCAGTCATGTCAGAACAAGAGACTAGTCCAGGACTGCCGTCCTGGACACACCAGAAATCAACCTGCCTTCAAGTCCCCTAAATACTCCTCAAAAGTCTGAAAAGGCAACCACCTTAAAGACAGTGCTCTGATGTCATTTTCTTTTCTCTATCTTTACCCAGAATGACTGTTTAATAAGGGTCCTCGTGACACTGCCTGGTAAGCACTGGACTGCTAACTGCAACATTGTCAGTTCAAAGCTACCAGCTGCTCAGAAAGAGGAAGAGGAGATTGTCTGCGGCTATAAAAATTTAAAGTCTCAGAAAGCTTATACAGAGTCACCGAGAGTGGGAATCAACTAGATGGCCATGGGTTTACAGTTTCATAATAGTTAACACTTATTGAGACCTTAACATATGCTAAGCACTGCTTAAATTCTCCCATCAACTGTATTAGGTACTTAACAGTATCTCTGTTACATAGTTTAGAAATTTCACACACACTGAAATTGTTAACTTAATGAACTGTGGAGCCAGAACGCGAACCCATGGAGTATAATTCCACAATCCATGCTCTTCCAAATGATGTTATCATCCTAGTGAAATGGTTAAAATTAAACAGCAGTAGCAATAGCAGCAACAACAAAATCCACTCTTTAAACACCATTTATACATTATACAAATAGTATTTGTCAGAACACTATTTTTTACTAAATACTAATTTAGTATTTCAGAATACTACAAGACTAATCAGTTGGGAGAAAACTGTCTACAGGCTACAGCTATTCTACATCATCTCTTAAACAGCCCACTCATTGACAGAACGGCCTCCAGAGAAAGTACAGGATGAGCGGAACACAGGTAGGCGAGACGAGGGGACTGTTTTATCAGGCAGAAACAATGGAACACAGTGCTAGAAGAGAGATGCTCCTTCCAGGAGCAGAAGTGACTTCTTCCCCCAACAAACGTAAAAACTTTGGAAATTAGTAGAGTCTAAAGGCAAAAGGAAGCACACATAAACAATCTACTCTAATTGATAAAGTTGCTTGCCAAGGGCTAGTCATTCTGAGCCGCCTGTAGAACTGAACAGCATTTCATGTATGGTGGGAACCAAATTTTTCAATTGGTGGAGTAGGAATTTACAGATAGGAGGTTAAAATAATCCGTGTGACACAGGTCTTCCGTAGGAACTCTTGTGTAGCTTAATCTACATACAGGTGGCTAAGCATAAAAATACTTGTAAGGTGTGAGAGGGAACTTCAAAAAGTTCATGGAAAAAATCCAAGATCCTGTCATTCCATTTTTCTATAAACTTTTTGACAGCCCTTCATGAAATAGCTGAAGAGAAACTATACTAGGATGCAGATCGTGGCTTCCGATACCATTCTACAATTCAAAGAACCCAGGCTCCTTAGAAAAGAGCATATGGACGTGCCAGCAAGTAAGGAGGTGAGGCATGGCTTATGTGTATGTAGGTATCTCAGAGAGGCCCAAGCAGCAAGCAAACTGGAACAATCTGAACAAAACAAAAAAGCAGTACTGAACATTTATAATGAGATAGTATCCGTGAGTCCATGTTGATGATATATATGTGACTGAGGAGATGAAAAAATGGGAAGAGACAAAATTCCTTTGCAAAAGAATTCCAAATCATTTAAGTAGGAACGCTGCCCTGCAGAAAGTGGAAGCTAATTCCTTCCTCAGTATGTGCGGGCTCTGTACACTGAGTTCTTTCTGAAGCATGGAGGGCGAGCGAGGTGGGGAGAACTAACAGAACCTGACAAACACTACCTCAGCCAGGTCATCACGGTCAACATCAACAAACTCTAGAGTGTCTGTATCCTTGATCTGTGATGAAAATGGCACTTGACCTCTGCCATCTTCCTCTCAAAACCCTGCAACCCCAGTGTAATCAGGAAAAAATATCAGACAAATACCAAGTGATGGGCACCCCACAAAGCAAACACCTGCCTCAAACCGGACTCAATTCCAACGTGGAGCGACCCTACAGCACCTGGCTAGAACTTCTCTAAACAAAACCAAAAAAATATCTGAGAAACTGTCAAAGCCCAGGACACTACAGCAGTGGTTCTCAACCTTCCTAATGCCGTGACCCTTTAATATAGTTCATGTTGTGGTGACCCCCCAACCATCAAATTATTTTTGTTGCTACTTCATAACTGGCATTTTGCTGTTATGAATCGGGCGACCCCTGTGAAATCGTTTGACACCCCCCCAAAGGGGTCGCGACCCACAAGTTAAGAACCACTGCTCTATAGAGACATAAGGTAACATGACAATTCCATGTAATGTGAGGATCCTGGAATGAAAAACGGACATTAGGGGAAAGCCAGACACCTGAATAAACTATGGACTTTAGCTAATGAAAATGTACCAGCATTAGTTCATTAATTTTAACAAATGTATGCCACATTTTGTAAGCTATCAATAGAGAATACAAGGTGTGGAGGTACATGGGAATGTTCTATATTATTGTCTCATTTTTCTTTCAATATAAAATTATTCTGAAATACAGAATCTCTTTTTACAAATGAAATACAAAAGTTTTCAGAAAATTATTATGTACCATTGGGATTTTTCCCTATCAACATATATTACTTTCACAATTTAAAAAAACCCACTTAAAGTTTTCTGATGAGTTTTGAGTAGAAAGTGTGAGTGTACATCTTGAAGAACCTACAGTTTAATAAACTGTATTAGATAAATGAGCACTATTTTGTCTGCACTATAATTTTCAACGTTAGTAGTAGAGTTTCACTTTGTTCAGGTCATACCGAACAGTGGCTGGAACACTACAAAACCAGCCCAAACCAAACCACTGCCCTCGAGCCACAATTCCAACTCACAGGGACCTGTTCACAGGATGGAGTCAGAACTCCCCCAAAGTGCAAGTCGCTAGGAAGCAGGCTATAAATCTTCAAACTAGTGATGTTTATGCACAATAGAAACCGGCTAGCCAAACAACACAGGTTAAATTTTAAATGGAACCTAGTAGCATTAAAGAAAAGAATTTTCTTGGAGAATAATATAATTTGAAGAGCTGTCCTAAATATGAAAAATTTGCAGCATTTCTCCCCACCTCGTTTTGCATAGCTGAGCTTCTTGTTTCTTTGAACTATCGATAACTAAATAAAACTAGTAGCTAGTATATGCTAGCAATTCTGCTTACTCCACAAGGCCAAAGTTGAGTGATCAACTTATCACCCAAGGGTTGTACTGTACTGTTTCAAACCTGACATGTCTGAGTCTTGAGAGAGAGAAGGGGGGAAGGAGGAGGAGGAGGAAGAATAAGAAAGGGAAGGGCATTTGTCATTTCTAGTCCCTATTTTAGTGTTCAAGGAGCCCTGGTGGAGACAGTTTTGCTCTGCCCTATAGGGTCACTATGATTTGGAATTGACTCAGTGGCAGTAAGATTGAGTTCTGGTATACTGATGTTCTATGATAAAATCCACGGATATTAATACACTTAAGGAATATTGCAAGGATATTTTACTCTTAGTTTTAGGCCAAAGGAGCTTAATTTTCAGTGTCAACAATAACCACAACCCTATTCACAAATTAGTGCTGAGCATCAAGCAAGAACTACAAACACTAATGACCTAAATTTCTAAATAAACCTAGGCAATCAATTCTGGTCTTCTCAGTGTCAGGGAAATAAGATTTCAAAATTATTAAATATCTAAACTTTTTTTCAATTTTACTTTCTAATATGGCAAACAATGAGAATGTTTATTTCTAATATGGTAAACACAGAGAAAAACATT